AAATCTCAGTCTGGCCTTGATTGCTCTTTCCTCAACCTATTTATCCTACCAAAAAGATGATCTGCCGGCCAGTGAATTCCAAAGGTTATGATCATTTGAATTCTTAATCATTTATTCCACTAACAACCTATTGTTGTCAACTAAACTACCTAATCATCAGTCTAATTCTCAAGGTTATCAATAACCAACCAGTAACTTATCACAAAGTTTATTTACCTATTCTACATACCCCCACTCCTAATTGTGTAGCGTCCTCGCAAATATAATTTAGCCTCAACTTTATATAGACGTAGCAGCATTGGCTTCTTCAATCAATGGCATTCGCTTACCACCCTTTGAATTGGTGACCTTCTCCTTTGCTACATCTTCATCCTCTGCTTCGATGTTCGATGGTTCTCCATCCAAATGCGCCATCCGATCTTCATTCAACAAATCCAATTTTCGTACCTACGACTCACGTCAAGCAATTTGGTTGTCACGCTGTCGTAATACCTCAAGGCTTGCTTGAAAATGCTCTGGGCACTTGGCTTTGGAAGGAAGAATAGAAATTACAATAACAAAATCCTAATTCTAATAGAATACTAATAATGCTCTAATTGGACCACAATAATGCTAAACAACCATAATCAAATTCAAAAAAAGAAAACCTCAAAGAAATTTCAAACAAACAATAAAAATTCTTAAAGTAATATTAGAATGATCACAAATATCACTCAAATACATCTCAATTCAATCTTAATTTAATTCTAGTTAAAATCATATTAAACTTCATTCAAACTTTAGGCCAAAATTAATTAAATCTTAAATCCTAATAAAATCCTCCATCCTAAATCAAACCCTAAACAAACCTTAAACCAAATCCCAACCAAATCCTAAACCGAATCCTAACCAAATCCTAAACCAAATCAAAAACTCTAAATCAAATCCTAACCAAACCCTAATCCAAATTCTAAACCCTAAAATAAATCCTAATCAAATCCTAAACCAAGCCCTAATCAAATCCTAAATCAAATCCTAAATCCTACCCTAAACCCTTAACCAAACCCTATCCAAACCCTAAACCAATTCCTAACCAAATCCTAGTAATTCCTACAACAGATATTTCCCTCTTGTGTTGCTTGATGTACATTTACATTCTTCATTCACATCCATTTATGTCTTGTGTGAACTCTAATATAAGATAAGTATAGCTTAATTATAACTTAATTATTAGAAATCTATGGTATTGGATACAATAGAACTATCAAATTGAAATTTGCAATGGATAGGAAAAAAATTGACCATTCCAAAACAAAAGTTGGTTATTAAAATAATAGTAAAAAAGAAGCATATGCATGACATTAGATTTATATACGTTTCTCCATTCTAATTGACAATCATAAAAGGACATAAATAAAGAAATAAAAATTAGAATATGAATAAGATATTTAATTGACAGGTTTAAATATTGCATTTATGCATACAGACCCTTCTAATGTAAGACATTGAATTTTATTTTCATACTTATCTTATATTAGAGTTCACACAAGACATAAATGGATGTGAATAAAGAATGTAAATGTAGATCAAGCAACACAAGAGGGAAATATTTACATTCAAAACTCAATAACTAATTTTTACTATCTTCGAAATACCGTCTTAAGAATATTCCCTCAGCAAGGTCAACTCATACAAATTAGACAATATGATATATATAATCCCACTCTCTGCAGCGTCTTAAAACAGCCAAGTACAAACAATCTGGAATCACGAGGAACAACTGAAAACAATCCCCAAGTTGCTAAAACTTAAGATCCCAAGAGGGCAGGCAAAACAACTAGAAAGGCAACAAAACACTCTTCTAGAACAATTCCTGAGCTTTGACCAGAATATAAAAAGACAAAGCATGAAGAAATGGAAGTTTCAACACACACAAACACCAAATGCTAGTCAACTAAGACACAGATATAAAGATGATCAACATTCCAAATACGACGAAACGTCCACAAATGCTTTGATTAACTTGTACTGAAAAGCACTGCCTTCGCCTGATATATTAACACGCTGTGCCAAACTACTGACAACTCTCTAGAGATCAGCCAACACGTAAAAATTCCAAATTAAAACAAAGATAGCCGTCCTTCACTTCCAATACCTGCACCTTTCATTCATTCCCACTCCCACCTCAATGCTTCCCATCAAAAGCTCCATGCCAACGCCCACCCCACTCCATTCCATCACACTCACAACCAGTCCCCCCTTCCAACAATCAACACTCCACGCTCCCTCCCATCCATTCTCTTCCATCCTCCCCGACCCACTTCCTGTGCCATGCTCCTTTTCCTAGCGTACCGGATGCAATGTTGCCCGATGTGTTATCCTTACCCTTTGTTGCCCCCTGCCGTTCCCAACAATCACACCACATTCATCGTGCCCCACGTCTGCCACCCTCCAACCATCACTCCAACATCACGCAACACAAATCCCGAAAAAACGTCCACATTCGGCTCTTTCAAATGCTTTACAGACCGTAAATCTTCCCACAATACCATCACCAATCACAGACCCAGCCCACCCTCTCCCCTCACACCCACCGTTCAATTTGGTAGTCCGTCGTTCACAACTCCGGGTGCGGTTGCTCATCAAAAATGCAAATCGTAAACCTTCAACAGGATCCTAATAAACCAAAGAGCAACCCTCATTCTCTCGAGCTGATCTTCGACCTCGCACTTCTATCCGCTTTGAAAATCCCCCCCGGCATCCAGGGTTAATGTGTGTAATGTCCTAAATCTCACTTCACTTCGAATCCCTCGCTAATATCACGAGGAATCAAGAATGCTACACTCGCACGATCCCGTGTCAGGCCTTCAAAGTATACAGTCCCTTCCGTCCTCTCCCGACCTCGTGCCGCTTTCTGCGCACACTCCAGTGTCGTAGGAGATCCGCCAAAATATATGACCTCCGTGATCTTGCGCAGACAGCTTCATCTGTTAGTCTTCTTTCTCTATTACAGGGAACGGTGTCGCAACCACTGTTCCAATGAATCATCCCCCCCCCCCCCCGGACGCCTCTCCCACTCCGCTACGCTTCCCCTGTGTCCTTCGTCATCCGCTTCTGGTGGTGCTCGCAGTAGTTCGAGTTCGACGGTGCCATCAGCGGGCATTGCCAGTTCTTGCCGTCCGACCTTTTGCACGGTTTTCCGCCCACGGCGGCGCTTTTGTACATGCCTTTCAATCGGGGTTTCGCGTTTGCCTGCAAGCCCGCCTCGGATTCCTCTTTCCCGCACTTCTCTTCCCACTTCACGCTCTCATCGCCTCCTTTCAACGTCACCGAACTCTCGTCGCTTTTCCAATACACTGCTGGCACCTTCTGCCTGCTCGCACCTCCCTTCACGTGTCGGCTCTTCGGTGCCCTTGTGCGCCCGCTGGCGTTCATCTGAGCCCAGTACCTCGCCGTCCCCTCTCTCCGAGCCATGGCCGCGGCTTCTTTCTTGCTGTCCGTCTTCACCGTCGATGCTTTATCCTGTACAATGGTTTCGGCAGCACACTGGGGCGACGGCGATGCTGTGGCCTGGGTCACCCCCACGATAGCTTCACACAATATGTACCTGCCTTCCCCCGCCTGGAAGTAATATGGATTGTTGCGAATGATCTTCCCGATCTTGATCCGAGGCTTCACCAGCCCCTGGAACACGGCACCCAGCCCGGCCTCCTCTATTCGCGACGCGGCCTCTCGTGCCGTCAGGCCCCCTCTGCCGGCTTGAAGGAACACTTGGTACGTGATGTACACCAGGCTGTCGGTCGGTTTCTTGCTCGGATGATCCGACGCTAGCTCCATCACCTGCACCGCCTGATTCTTGCTCTCGTTGCCGCCTGCTTCCGCCGCTGGCGTCACGTGCTGCTCGTTCTTCCCGGAACTCGTCCCTGGATTCAGTTCATGCCCCCGCTTAGACCCGGCCACTCACCCACGCACAAACCCGCGCTTCCGTTGCGCGCAAACCACGTCGCCTTCGACCCTACTGCATGCATGCAACTGCTCCCTACAACCCCATCCCCTCCACCAACTACGCTCATATCCATCCAATGCCACCCTCAACACCAGCATCCCCGAACTCACCCCACAACCCAACCACAACTTGCACTCATCCAAAACACGTACCATTTTCCTCCGACCCTTGCCTCCGTTTCAAGCCCGACCTTTCACCAACCAGCGCACGCGCACACAAACACATACACACACACGCGCACATACCGTTAGCGCCCTAACACAAGTGTAACTCCCACACCCAACATCTCCCCACCAACTGTCTCAGGCTCTGCGTTCAGCGCGCACAGGGACGTCGCTGCGCGCGCAGCCAATGCCCCTCGCCTCGCCCTCTCTGCTTATATCGCATCAGTCCAACACATGCGCACCACCACTCTGTTTGCCTGCTCCGACCATGCTCACAAAAACCATTTGCGTCCAACACAACTGTCGCCTGCCAAGCCAGGTACGCATTCGACACACAACATCCACCGTCCCCTAACACAGCGCTCGCGGTTCCACACAGCCAACGCCTGCTACTCACCCCTAACCCCTCACCGACACATACTTGAAAGCTCCCTTCCTCTCCCCTCCCAAACCAAAACCCTTCCCGTGTGCTGGATGCCGGGCTCTCACCTCTGCTGCCTGTGCTCTTGCGTGACCACCCTCGTCTCCTCAAACTTGTGTAGCTTCTGGGTCTTCGCTGCAATCTGTTCCACAAAAGTGACACGTCACGATTCAAACGTCTCTCTTGCTTGCGTTCTTCGCCGTTTCTATCTACCCCAACTGCGTCACCGGACACCCTCGTGCATATCACATACACGCACCACCCCACATGAATGCATGCAGCAATCACATCTCAACTCACTCATTTATTACTACTCCCTCCCAAGAACAAATAAAATATATAAATGGAGGGGGGGGGGACTGATTCACTCAATCGACTGGCCGTGCGGTAAGAGAGAGAACTCACGTTCAATGCGAGGTCACAGCCGCTTCGTTCAGTCCTTTTCGCCGCGGACTTGCCACCATCTTTGCACGCCGACGGCTCCGCACCCAACCAAGCCACCCCACCGACTCTGCCATTCTCGTTCAATCGAGACTGCTCATCCCCGAACTTCTGTAATGTTACATGTTCTGGAGACAACGTGCTCGTCAGCCCCTCGTCCGACACGCCCGATGCCCGCAACCTGTCCTCTTCCGCACCACCTTTCACGCTCCTTACACCGCCGTCCTCCGCACCCCCCGGTGCAAACCTCCCGCATTCATCCCACCCCCGCAAACCGTCGCTGCTCGGACGACTCGGCTTCCCGTCGTCCGACTGTCCCGTGAACTGATCACACTCCTTCACGATGTGATCGCTGCTCTTCGGCCAGAAACACAGCTTCCTGGACTTCCTGCTCAGCTGCTCCTTAGCATTAAAGAGAAATTTCCACGTCTCCTCCAAGCTCGCCACATCCACGTCTGGGCGTTTGTACACTCCATGCGAATCCCGGCTCCCAGACTCCACTGCAATTACACGCACCCTTTAGAACCTCACGTCTCCACCACACCCACTCCCGCACGCGCTTCCTAAATTTAAACCACGCGCGCATTGCCCACGCACCCCACCTCCCACCCACTACACCCACCCGCCTCGCCAAAATCCGCCACCGAATTGGCCCCTCCGACCACAATGGCACGCTATCGGTCACACCCTGAACCCCCCCGCCACTCATCCAACACAACAACGCCACAATGCCGGTGAGAATCTTACACGAGAAGTCGAGGTTCGGATCCTGCGGCAGCAGCCCCTTCAGAAACCTAAGCTTATCCAGCCACGTATAGGCGCTGCGCGTCTTTACCACCACGGTCGACGCAATTCCCGCGTCATCCTCCATCCCTCCTTCCTCCTCCTCCACCTCGTCCTCCTCTCCCGCCTAGTCCTCTTTCCCCTCCCAAACGCACTCCTGCACTCGCCCCCGACCACCGACATCCGCCTGCCCGGACTCCAGCGAAGGCGCCTCGACGCAGATGGGATTAAGCGCAGCAGCCTCCGCGCCGAGGCATCGTCGCTCGCGCCAGACCGCACGACGCACGCGACCGACACCCATGCGACGCGCGGAGGAGGAGCACCATGCACGCTCGGGCGGGCCCGCAGTGGCGATCCCGGACAAACGCGGCCGAGGGCGCTCAAAACCCTAATGCCATGGAAACGCAGCAGGGGACAACGAGGGGTGGGGAAGCGCAAGCGGTAGCGGTAGCGAGGGAGAAAGGGAGCAGGAGACGAAGAAGGAAGGCGGAGGCGACGAGGGAGAGACAGTCCTCCTCCCCGAAATCATCATTCAAGCAAATCGAGCGACGTGGCGATGATGTCCTTGCCTCGCCTCGCCTCGCCTCGCCTTGCCCCCATCCCCCGAGCATCCTGGCTCAGTGCCCTGCCCTGGCCTGCCCTGCCAGCCTACCCCTAATTTCCCCCCGCCCCTCCCCCGCCCTTCAATACCACCGCCAAGCCATTTCAGCATTAGTTTTTCTCTTTACCCTCGCTCTGCTCTGTGTCAGAGAGCAGTCGTGTAGAGTTTGCCCCTCTGCTGTGCCCATCTGCTCTTGGCTGTGTGTCTTTGGTTCTGTTTAGTTGGGCGGTTTTGTCTTCGTACAGGAGTCATTGTTGTCGTTTTTTGTCTCACTGATGGTGTTTATCGTGGATGCGTGGCGGCATCGACACATCTTTCGGTATTGTGTATTATTAGAAATGCAGTAAATATAGATTAGGATTTGTGGAGGATCAGTATGGGTTGATTACGTTGTAATATTTAAGTGTTTCATTATTTCAGATTACTTTCATGAGTCAAAGGAATATCTTAATGAGAAGAACCGTTATAGTAATTTTAAAATCCGAGTGAAATTACAGTTACTACCTTATTGTTGAGATCATTAAATGTAGTCGGCACTCTCCATAATATTTACTGTAGACTACAATATTTTGAGTCTAGTGGAGAAGTACTGTTTATCATCTCCTTTTTTCTCTTTCTTTTATACGAGACACAACCAGATGAACAGATTTTTATGTGTGAAGCTCTCTCTCCTTAGAAACCCTCTTATGTGTATGACTTATTACTATTCTTGTGTGTGTGTATGACTTACTACTACTCTTGTGTGTGCATATGACTTACTACTATTCTTGTGTGTGTGTATGACTTACTATTACTCTTGTGTTTTTCTAAACATTCTCAACACGTTATCAACACGACTTTCTTCTATACACTATTACAATTTTTTCCTCTAGTCTTTGACTCTTCAAACCTGTTGCTACCCTTGCTCAGTGTCTGCTTCATGATCTTGTTCTTCCTGTTGCGCCCCACGCTTGCCGCCAAATCCGCCACTGCCGTCGTTGCCACCCTATCGCCCGCCATTGTCTGCCATTGCATGCCGCTTCCACCTTGCCGCCCTACTGCTGCCCTACCGGTGCCTGTTGCCGCCATCTTATTGTTGTTTTATTTCCTTAATCTGTAATCTCTTTTAAATATATATATATATATATATATATATATATATTTCAAGTTCAAGTTTAACATTTTATTTGACTTTATATTTTAAGGTATGTTTTACTCAACTTTTCTACTTGATATTGTATTTTCTTTACAGATTTATTTATAATGAGTGCTTCAACATCTTCAACTCCTTCTACTATGGTTCCAACTATTACCAGTGCATCCCAACATTTTCAAGCTCTTTTATTTCGACCATTGACTATGGATGGAAACAATTATCTATTATGGGCTAAAATGGCAAAAGCAAATTTATTTGCAAAACAACTCTCGGATGCCATTATGTTTGAAGAATCTCCTACAATAAGTATTTCTATACCTCCTGCTATTCGTTGGAAAGCACTTCTTCTCCTTCGTCATCATCTTGTACCTGCATTGTAACATTAATATTTGGAAATATAAGATCCTGCAAAACTTTAGAAGAATCTTAAATCTAGGTTTGATCATCAAAAGACCATTTTTCTTCCATGTGCACGTCATAATTGGATACATTTACGTGTTTTGGATTTTCCAAATTTAAATGGTTTGAATAGTAAAATGTATAATATTGTCTCACAATTATGATTATGTGGACAAAGCATTTCTGAAGAAGAAATGATTGAGAAAACTCTCTCTACATTTCCTCATGTATGTGCTGTGCTTGCACAACAATACAAGAACATGAAATTTTAGAGTCATTCTGATCTCATGTCCTATCTATTTCTTGCGGAGAAGCAAAATGAGCTATTCTTGTGCAATGCAGAAGCTCGTGCTATTGGAACTACAGTTTCAGAATCTCATGCACTTAATATTTCAATGTCTAAGAAGAAATTATATAAACATGAGAAACATACTCATAAGTATCAAGGTAGTCATAGTCAAGACCATTTCTACCCATATAGAAAGAATAAACGTTCTACTATTAATTATAGTAGAAAAGAAAAATCATAGATGCATTCTTGCCATAAGTGTGGAATGATTGGACATTTAGCACATGCGTGCCGTACTTCAAAATATTTTATTAAAATATTCCAAGAAAATAAGAAATTACAAGCTGAGGCTCGTGAAATTCATACCATGGATGTGTCCATGGATTCAATTGGTGTTGATGACTTAGAGGCTTATATGAATGATAGAACCTCTAATGATGAATCAAATGATGCACTCATTGATTCTGCAATAATACATACTATCTTGCGAGATAGATGATTTTTTATTGAAAAATCTTCAACTTAGCAAACTAAAAATATGATGACTATGGCTGGAGCAAATGCGTTTTATTTCCAAGAGGACATAGTAATGATAAAATTACCTGCGAGTTCCATTATAAAATATAAACATGCGATGTTTGAACCTTCAGCACCTTGGAGTCTGATCAGCTACCGAGATATGCGTATTAATGGTTATCACCTTTCGAACGTCACTTTAAATAGAAAAGAGATTTTGATTCTTACGAAGAATCATAAAATTGTTGAAAAAGCTTTTGCTACAAAAAATGGTTTATATCGAATTGTAATTTGACCTCCCATTATATTATATTTTTGCATTATCTATCTCAGAGAGTCGTGTTTCTCTGTGGCATGGACGATTGGGACATCCAAGATCCACATTATTTAGAAAGATCTTTCTATGTATAATTGGACACAATTTAAAGCCTACATATGTAGACTCTATGGAATTATGTCATGCATACGTGCAAGGTAAAATGATTACTCGGCCTTCAATTTGGAAACTTCCACAAGAATTACCATCAATGCTTGAAAGATTGCAGGGTGATATTTGTGGTCCTATTAATCCAATATCAAGACTATTTCGTTATTTTTTAGTCCTTGTTGATGCATCAGGTAAATAATCACAAGTTTTATTATTATCAACTCAAAACATGGTGTTTTCCAATCTTATATCTATGCTTATTTGCTTTCGGGCATATTTTCTTGATTATCCTATAAAAACATTGCGTATGGATAATGCAAAAGAATTCACATCAAAGTCTTTTGAAGACTATTGTACTATAACAGGAATCGAGTTGACATATTGTATTCCATATGAACATGCTCAAAATAGACTTGCAGAGTCATTTATAAAGTGTATACAAGTCATTACCCGGCCACTCGTCCTTCACGCAAATCTACCTGCATTTATGTGGAGTCATGCACTTTTATATGCTGCAGTATTAATACGCCTCCGCCCTTCTTCTCTTGAAATTGTTTCACCACATGAGCTCATTTTGGGTCATGTTTTAAATGTATCTCACTTACGAGTATTTGGTTGCCGTACTTGGATTCTAGTACTAGAACCTCAATGGCATACCATTGAACCTCATCGACAAGAAGGCATATATGTTGGTTTTGATTCACCAAACATTATTCATATTGTTGATCCATCAACTCGGAGATTATTACGTGCACGTTTGTAAAGTTGCCATTTTGAAGAAAATGTATTCCCATCTCTTCAAGGAGGAGTATCTAATCAACAAAGAAATAAAGTACTCATATTTGAAGCACCAGAAACGTTTACAATGAATCCCGATCCTAAGACATCTTAGGTAGAAATTGAAGTTGCTAAGATTTTACATCTAAAATGGATCGCAGATGAAATATCTGATGGCTTCAATGATGCACCTAGAATTACAAGAGTTCTTATTAATGAGGCTTAGAATGCACCTGCTCAGATTGCAGTGCCATTGACTATAATACCTTAAATTATAACAACAACAAGTAAAAGAATTCGTAGACCAGATAAGCAACCATGTAAGAAGAAAGCTATAAAATTGACTAATCTTGGTATTATTTCTCAAGAAATTGCCTCACAACTTGCAAGACTACCAATTCATGATGATATATCCATGCATAATGTACCTTCAATTCCTATGAAAAACAATCTTGGAATTAGAAGGAATAAGAACAAGTTGAGTAAAGAATTATCTATTCTGTATAGTGCTGTAGATGATATTTGGGACAGACCATCTATTATGGTAGATGAATCATTTGCATATATGATTATAGAAGCGCTTTCTTGCAAAGAAGACGATCCTAAACCTCAAACCATCGAAGAGGCGATGTGTTGCTCAGATTGATTAAAATAGAAAACTGCTATTGAATAGGAGTATGCCTCTTTGCGTAAGAGGAAAGTCTTTGGTCCAATTATAGACACTCTTACATCTCGCCCTGTGGGATATAAAATGGTATTAATATGCAAGCAAGATGCTCAAGGATTTATTCAACGATTTGGCATTGATTATGAATCCACATATTCTTTAGTCATGGATTCAATTACATTTCGATATATTATTGGAATGACAGTTCATGCCACCCTTCAGATGCATCTGATGGATGTAATAACTGCATATCTATATGGTTCTCTTGATGCAAATATTTATAAGAAAATTCCACCTAGCTTAGAAACAGG